AATAATCATATGCGTGGCACAAAACTCAGTCTAAATAACAATGAGCATCGCAGTAGACTTGCTTCCGCTCATTGTGAACAACTTGACTGTCCAACAAATGTGGTATGAAGGAAAAACTGACTGGTGGATTTGTGTCTCAGTTTGGATGTCGGCCACTCGAATCTTATGGAGGAAGTTGATTGCAAAATTTTTTCGGATTGGTAGCCAAACAACTATGCTGGAGCCTCTACTTTGGTTTTAAGCCAGAGGATTTGCCTCCTCTTGCTGAATACAACTCATGTACTACAAATGTGTCCAAAGTAATCGGTAAATGAACTGATACAGTGTTTTCGTGATATCTAAATAGATCTGGACGAACAGTAATTACGATGATGCGTGACTCGAGGCTAAGCATATTGTTTGAGACGCACAGAATTATCAGATACTGCACCACCAGCCATACTCGAGGGATTTTTAGGGTTATGGAGCGAATGGTTAACGAGGCGGTAGTCAAGTTCCTGCTTTAAACAACATTATTCACATGTCACAACACGGCTTTCTAACCTCACGTTCTTGCACAACGGTCTTTGAATCATTTTAATTATATTGCATCTGCGGTTCAGAAAATTCACTCGTCATGTGTGTATAAAAGCACACTTATGACTTCACTGGACTTGAAGCTTCCATTACAAATATCCTTTTAGGTATAACGAAAACATTTGGCAGCGTGCCTCATTGTCGGTTATTTTTCAAAATGTGCCTTTTTCCATCACAGATTGAGTACTTTTGTGGTTTTTGTATTATTTCTCAGATCAAACAACAGTTATTCATTTCATTAAGTACCTTTTCTTACAAACATATTACTTGTACAGCCATGTAGGAAGTGCTCTACCCCCAGCATTAGTTCTATGACACGTGAATGATATATTCAGTATGCGTGTATATGAACCTGCTTTCCACTTGCAGAAAATATCATGTTCGACAACACCTTCTATCCAAATGATAACCGACTTGTATTGCTTAAAATGAAGCGGGACCTTGATAAGTTGGATCAAGAGCTCTGCAGGTGGCAAGTAGCAGTTTCAGCAGACAAGTGCCGCGTTGGCACACTCAAACGCATCGTACTCCTAAATTCCACTATAGTAAAAGCCACTTCATTGCCACCGAGAATCCATACCGCTTTTAGATACCTTAGCATTAGACACGACAGCGTTTTTGATTTCACAGAGCAACATTAGTATTAATTAGCAAGATCAAGAAAAATGAATACTTATGTATGTGGGTCCATTCAAATGATGTAGATTAGGCCAAGACTTCTTACGTATTGCGTCCGACCCCACCTGAAATAATGTCGGATTATCTACGGTGAATAACGCGTCACATACATTTGCACTATAGTGTCCTCAAATTTCTTCCAAAGGATAGCTGCTTGTAGGAAACTCGTGTATCGCACACGATGCATGAGATTAAATTGGATATTTTTCTTTAAACTTCTTCAAAGCATGGTCTATTCTGCGGTAAGTACACTACGGTTCACATCTTTCGTTGAGGTGCCAACTCGTAAGGCAACCGAATGTGATCCAATTCCATAGAATTAAAACTAAGGTCCGTTCAAACTTTTGGACTGCCAGATACTTTATGACCTCGAATTTGCTGCTTAGTGACGTTGCGATGGATGTCGGTCACAACCCCGTTTCCCACAATGTGATCCATTCAAGGTCATTCAAGAATGGAGGTTTAGAATCCAACCGTAATCATACACTGAAAGAGGTACCTCTACTTGGTTTGTGAATACTTACCCAATGAACTTAACACTTCTGATAGTACATATGATAACTGCTATCATGCGATATCTCATCCGATTGGTTATCGCAGCTATCCGCTCCGTTGTGCTCAGCGTAAATACTGCTAACTGCATCACACAATGTAGAGAAATGTACCAGTATTATTAGTATTAATAATGCACTGACCGGAGATGCATACCACTCTTGGCAATCTCGGGGATGACGCCCACTGAAGTTCTTTACAGCTAGCAGTCCTAAACACTGTGAACCCATGGTCCTTTGACTGTGTGTACTCCTCACCCGCATGAATGATGCAACAATTCAACTACTACGAGTGTTACTAGATTCAAGCAAATGGGTAATAGTCACGAAGCGCCTAATTGCGCTGACTAAGACTGGAATGTCTAAGTTATTCTATACCGAAGCAGCCTGTATGAAGTCATCATCATTTCCCGTGTCATTAAGCAATGAGAAATACCCCAGCTGCTGTGCTGTATTCTGTAAATAGAACAATATTTTATGCGTGTAATGTTGTCAATTTCCCGTTGCCATATAAGATTTACGTGCGGTGCCATATTTGCAAGACCCAAGTGGTTGCATACAAAAGCACGTGTCACGTGCGAGACATCACCTTCTTAAAACCGGTTGGGTTGAAATTGTCAAAAAGTAATTGAAATAAGTTTGAAATTGTTGTGTGTCATCGTTTTGAAAGGAACGGAAAGAAACGTTGTTGAGACCAAACCGGTAGGATAAGCTACCCTGACGCGAGTTGGCGTGTAATAATACGCGGTCTACCAAAACCTCTAATGTATGCGCTCAATTGTGTTGTGGTCAATTGCACGAGGCTTGTAGCATGGCTACTTTTCACATCCTTATCGCGTGCGCATCCTGAGGATTACCTGGGTCTCTACAAGGTCCAGAACGCAATCCATGTCATTTTTCCATGCGAAGCATGAAGCTGAATGGAGACAATAATGAGGGAAACTTCGTTTCATGTGACAAAGTGTTAGAGGTCCAGAGCTTTTGTCCCACCGTCGAAGTGATGCCCCACACATGTTATATTTTACCGGTTCTTAGAGAAAACCCACAGTAAGTTGATAATTTACCTGGGTATCCGGCGTATCAGGAAGATCTCATGCTAGTGGAGTAATATGGCCACAGAGAGAATTTTTATCCCAGGAAGCTGGGATTTCTTTCACGGCTGTTCCGTCTACTGTGCACAAAGGACACTGTCGGTCAGTTTCTTAGTGACTCACATGCTTACACCAAATTTAGGGAATCGCTGTTTTGCCGCTACCTTTTGCCGCTACCTCTCAATCTAATGACTATTGGGTTCACGGTGTTGTTGTTCACTTAGGGTCAGTCTTGGCGATTGATTTGGTTCTGATTGAAAAGTCGTCGAATGAGTGTGCAACACTCTAATGGGAACCGCCTAGACGGACACAGCTAAACGTCGGATAGAGCATATAGGCTGCTGGGAGTGATTCCGATAAACTGAGCAAATTTCTGATATGTAACGCAATAAAATAGCTCATTTTGTTATCAAACTTTATTATACCACATTATATGACGTGAACTGTTAACTTCAATCCCTCCTTGGTTAAAAGTATTGGTATTATCAACAACGGAAATGAGATGATCATGAAACCACCAACCTCCACAATTGTGCCTGGTCAGGCAGACAAAAAGAAAACTATTTGCATTCCAAATGTTCTCACAGCTGCGCCACCTACTCTGGCCTATCACCCACTCAAAATGATAGAATGCTAACCTGTGCACTAAATCACAAATGTTTGATCTGAAAGTTCACCTGAATACCATTCCGTATCTTGATGAAAGCGGTGTCAGTGCAAGGAACTGAATAGAGCAGTTCAGTTATTGTGTGTCTAAGTTCACATTAATCCACCGTAACTGCTTAAAAAGAAGAGACTAAATCAAACACTGTAATCTCATCTGCTTGAAAACATACAGTGTGGAAAGTGTAACCCGCAAAAGTTGTATTGTGCAGAACAAGTGATTTCTCTGACCTTACTGATACGTGAGGAGCTTTCCAGTTACGCTTGGGTTTAAGGTTACAGATATATAACTGTTCGCTACTGGCATAACATCCTGAAAGCGCCATATACACGTTCTGCTTGGTCACCATTGCCCCAGTAAATCTGTACCGGCAATATGGACAGCAGTTGTCTCAAAACACTCCTAAGTCAAGCGCCTCATGAGATTGTTACGAGGCTTAGTTAGAAATTAGGATTGTGTTAATGGTGTGTTGTTTACAACGTGACTGACACACTAGAGTTTTGTGTGTATCATCCACCCTTCTACTGTAATCGATTTCTCTATGCTTAGTTACCAAACAGTAAGATCGTTTTTAGTAGGAGATCAAATGCGAGTGCCTTCGGTAGAAATAAGGGTCCGTAGACACAGATTTAAAATACTGCATTTGATTCTAGATCAAAATGTTTGGTCGGTTCACAGCGAACTTGTGTTAGGGAGTTATCCTTACCAATTTTTTCCGACGCATATATAGGTCATCAGCCGAACTGCTCATTTTGTTGTGAATCCACAGCTTAACTCACAAACGCTCTCTCCGTTGATTCAGTTGAATAAGCCCAAGCAACGTTGAACCTAAAAATGTTAACTTGTTCTACGGATTTAGCAGCGAATCGTATTGAATGTAGGGTCTCAATGAAGAGAAGCGAATGCATGTAAAAGGTTGAAAATGACTGAAGTCACACGCACACACCACGACAGCTACTAATCGTTCAATGGGCTGATGGATCAAGTCAAGTCAATACAATCTTAGTATAGTCTGTTAGTACTTTGAGTAGCCGTGAGAAGATTAGTAGATATATGAGTTGGCTTTTGTTTCGTTGAATTGTCTCTTTAAAACACGCAGTTCGCCTAGTAAAATTATCTTGTTGAACCGGATAGATATGGAGGGTTGCGCGCCAGAAAACACTGCACTTATCACTTTGTTTGGCAGCTTATCTACCGTATATACGGTGGAAACCTTTGATTTCTTTCTTATCCACGGTCGATCGAAACATTTAAACTATTCCTGGGTTTAACAGTTCAGAGAGGATACTCTAAGTGACGGAAAAAGTGGCAGCAAAAAAGTAGCTTCGCCTTTATTGGAAGATACATGAGAATTTCGATCAACACCGTGAGATAAGCACGTAATCACTTCGCAATAGGAACAACACTGAACAGCTGTGCAAAGAAGGAGCTAAGCAAATGTCAACTCACTTGATAGGCATTGTTGAAACCCGGGTGATCCAGGTCATGACATATCGCGGAGACAAGTATGATGAGTTGTTCCTCCTTGTCCAGAATCTCTGCCAAATTTGCTGCCCACAAAATAGCATATGCCTGAAAGAGAAAATATCCCTGTTGTCACTTTCAGCATGTTTCATGATACACTTACGGTGATGGGGAGTATAAGGAACAAGATGGGATGTATTTAACACTTATTCATATGTACTGCTTAAGGTGGATACGTTGATAGAGAAACAGATATTGTTTTAATGTACCGCGGGCGAAGTTAGGCGGCACCGTTCTGAAGATGGAATCATGTTTTAGAGGCCGTTAGGCTTTCCACCTTTCCTTTGTTTCAAACCGACATGTTGATGATACTTATTACACCTTCGTAGCGATTACCATTAGATCTGTCACAGCTGACCACATATGCATTGTACACCAGGAATTTGTGCCTGGTTGCTAATCCGGTCATGCTTCGCCGAAGTTAAACTGGTCGGTAATGCGTTTGGAATGATCGGTCCAATTTTTTTGGCTGATCGAGAGTTTGTCAAAAAAATATTAAGTGTAGATAAATTTAAATATATGAGTGAAGTAATACGGAACCGCCACCTGGGAATCTGCTTCCATCTAACGACAAAACAAATAGGTCGAACGGGGATCGCGGTAATAACTCGGTAATTTGTTACTTATTTCATAATGTGTTTGTAGTTATTCGCTAACACATCTTTGTCATGTACCCAAAAGATTTAATTTTTTCCTTTACAGCTGGTCAACTTGTATGGTTCTTTGTATGGTGCTTGTGTGTGACAAGGCCTGTGCTACATGAAAGGTTGAAATTGAACATACACAACCGCTCATCTCTCCCTTCGTTTTGGTAGCAATATGACTTGACAAATCTTGTTCCAAGAGGAGTAATTTAATAAAACCTATATTGCACAAAACTTTTAACTCTTGTATACTATGCCAGTGAACTGAACAATATGTGCAATTGACAGGAATTAAGAGTGCGACTCATCGTTCGCGCAATTATAACTATATGAGGATTTTATGTAGTCGCTGGATCCACATGGGCTTGGTCGATCGTTTTCCGATAGTCTTTGTCACGAGCACCAAGCCCTAGCAGACATTTAGTGAAGCATGGTATTGCCATTTTACCCGGTAGGTTCTAAGAAGACGACGGGTTCACCCGATCGCAAAGGGATAAACAGGGGTTGCCACGTCACAATGTGAGAGAAATCGATGTGAGAAGTAAGCGAAGATTTGGCACCGGATACATCATCAGTGGCTCGTAATCTAGTTGCAGCTGAAATTTACCGTAAAGTTGGTTTAACCGCTTGTTGATGTGCTCTAATGCCAGTACACGGAAATGAAAATGGCTTGAACAACTTTTTACTACATAAGCAACAGTTTGCTATACCAGCTTTGCTTCAGCATCACGTCCTTTCTTAACCCCTTGGGAATACTATCGCTTAGCCAGGATTCGTTAGGGCTATAAGAATCACTGTTATCGGACAGCTTGTACTCCGATACGGTTGTAATCAACTCAAAATTTGTGCAAACAAACTGCCACCTGCGTCAAATGCGTTGTCTGGAACAAGTTTCTGTTGAGAACTAGCGGTTGGACAGGGGTGAAGCATTTTGCGTGAAAGATTTGGACCAATAGCAAAGTATATCAGGAGAAATGCACGTGCCCTGGACAATCTGTACTTGTGCTTAAAAAGCTGGGTTCCGTGCTAATAAACAGCCAGTAAGGTGACATTAATGCAATGTGGCTTGAGAGATAACGCATTAAAATTCCACACTTGATGTCGTCATTTTCTACCGTGAGCGATGAAAGAGAGTCCGTATCTTTGATGGCATGGACAGTAAGACCTCAACCCACTTCTAGTACAGGTCCGCAACTTAAGCTACTTCGGTTATTCTTTCTCTGACCAAGCATACTGTAGGCACTAAATGGTCTTGAAAGTCTCCTGAAAATCCTTCGGTGATTAGAGGTGAACATAGTTCTATGAAATACAAAACAAAAGACACAACGAATCTCACTAACTTAAACCTGCTTATTTTGCGGTATCTCAGAATTCAAAAGCACTTTCTAACTGATAGCTTTTCATACACCTGTATAAAAGAATACCTGAAGGAGCTTAAGCACAACGAACGAAAAAAGGTATCGCAAAACTCGACACTATGAGCCACTGTCACCTGCAGAGCAGAAATACTGAAATTTCCGGTGCAAACTTAGGAATCTTCCGCATTTGTGGTACTTGTCGACCCATTCTCATAAGTTCTGAAGGATGTGATCCTTCGTGCTTTATAATAATTACATACTGAATCACTTGGCCTAAAGAAGCGTTTGCGTCAAACGCAAAGCGTTACCCAACCAATATGCCGACCGAATGTTCCCATACCTCTCTGAAATCAAGTTTAATGGTTAGTCACCAGCTGAACGCGAATACAACCCTTGTGTTATATAGTAACTTGCAATGTGGAGCAAAAGCAATGTGCGTATAATGTGAATGTATTTCAACTAATCAGTATTTTTCATCATTAAGCTATTAAGTGGAGTCGCCTAGGTGTGAAAACACGACTTTACCACAGACATGTTGGTGCCGCTGGTGATTATCCAAAGTAGTATACTTCACATACCGAACATGCGCTCTTGATGAGAGAACTCAATACTTCCAGCTTCCTAAACCTGCTTTATTCATTTTACCAGAGTTGCTAGCCATTAGTTCCCATCAATATAGTGTAGATGAAAATAATTGGAAGAGTTACTTGCACGTTAACACTCTTTCGTCGAGTAGTAGTTGGGCAAGACTGGTTACGCAACTCGGTTAGATCCTCAACTGAGGCGTGCATTTTGTTCCCATTCATGTTCTACCCATTATCGATGCGGTTGCAACCTGATTGCTTGACACATAACATAAATACACAGTTGAGTACCCTCGCAAAGATGGGGTGATCAAGCAATGTTCACTGTCAGCCTCATAATGCACAGAGTGGTCAGGGAACGGGTATACAAGCCTGAAGATCAGAAATCCTCAACAAACTATGCACTGCTGTGCATTGAAGATCCCATTCTGATTGGTGGTAAAACGTCTGTGACCACGTTGCCCGGCTAGGGGCGCATCCCCAACACCCAGATTGCCAACCCGGATTACCGATTTTCCGCGTTATCGCAAGCAAAATTCAGCTTCATAGAAGGCAATTGTGAGTCTCGTTGTACAATCTCTGTTGTGACCTTTTAACAGCAAACTGGATTAGTCTGAAGGATCAGCCTTTAACGTGCTCCTGTGAATGATAAAGCATCGAACTCAGTTGGAAAACTGGAACATTTAATGTGACCCATCCACAATATTTCTGTTGTGCAAATGTGGCGTCAGTTGTTTGATCGGATTCAGCCACATTGAATGATAACTCACTTAAAAGGAGTGCATTATGACTCTCTATTAGCCTGCAAAGGAAACCAAATTACCATCGGCCTATTTGAGTAAGTAAGCGTGATTCGCAAAAGTCAGTCTGCCATTTTGCACACTTCCGTGTGACTTACCATCTGGCAGACCATGAACGCATGCAGATAGTTGTGGAAAGGGACTCGGTTGTACCGGCGATATACGTCACAGAGCCACTTGTCCAACTGAGCGAGTTGGAGTTTAAAATGTGTCACCAAAGCCAGATCGACGAACATCTGCCGAACGAACCGGATAAGCCATGCCTCGGACCAGGGCCAATTGTTGAACGTTGCTTTCCGAAGTTCAATTTGTACCTTCTCTGAAATCGGGCTTTGACTGAAATAGCCGGGTTGATAATATGAATTGAACAAAATGGAAAGAAACAGTTTGATCATTCCATTTTTTCATCTTGGCAATGTTATACTTTACTATGTGATACGCTCGGCCCATGTACAAATACAGATAGTTAGCTTTGGATGTGAAACGGATTACAAGAGGTCACGGTAAACAAAGCGTAACGTCATGTACGCCACATTTTATGTGAGAAAGAAAGTGCCGTATTTGAACCTGTGAATCTCCACTAGAAGCTAAGCAAATTTCTGAGAAATTGTGCAAGAGGAAGTAAAGTGACTATACTCTTTGAAAAAGCTGGTTAATGTACCGTGAAATTCGGGAATAAAGCTTCTTTATATAATGCACTTAAATACCACTTTTTGCCTTTTGCCTATCTAGCTCCAATTATATGTAATTCGGCCCGAACACCAAAGATTTCATGCTAGACTGCAGTAAAGAAGTATGAAGGTCTGCCTATAACATGCCTACATGAAACAGTCAGCAATGGGGTCAGGTTGGGCACCGGTGATCAATCCGCACCCAGAAACAGCGAAAGTAGCTGGATGTAATGTCTCCCTTCCTGCATTAACAGGCTACAACTTCAACCTCATTTTAAAGGTACGAATGCTAAAGTAAGATAGAATTGTAGAGTAACAGATTTTTCCCTATGCCGTGAAGTGATAGACCGAAGGTCATTAATAACATGCTTCTGGCTTGTTGCGTGGGCTCTAAATCATCCACATTATGTAGCGTTTGGTAAAACCATTGCTATATCGCAATAGTAGCCATCTGCTAGCTTTTCAAGTGTGGAGCTGAGACAAGTAGGATCAAATGGTCTTGTGTTGTGTGCATTTGTACTTGAACGCTGACTGAAACGAATACTGAGTACTGAATACTGTATTATAGAGCAAGTAGAAATGGATTCTGTACAACTCTTTCGAAATATGGCGAAAAACTTTATAAAATTGTCAACCGTGAATATCATTGTCGTTCTCATGTAATATTTAAAATATTCGACTTACGATATTTCAGGATTCACAAATGTGATATGTCATCGTAAGTGTGCAGTCGTTCTCTGAATCGAATAGAGGCAAAATACAAATCTAACAACGTTTTGAACTGCTGCACAGATGTTGCCTCAAGCACATGTTCGGACAAACTGTTCCAAATGTTTACCACTCTCCTTTCGAAGCACAGTGGGTGGGGAACACCTTTCACATCCGGCACGACAAGTTTGTATCTGTGTCCGCGTGTGCTGCATGGCCCTCGTAAGTGCAGTATTGGCCTTAGCATGAGGAACTCACCAAGATGTAGAATTCGGTAGGTCATAATGAGGTCGACTCGCACCCGACGGTAGGACAAAGTGTAGAGCCCTAGTTTCTCGCACCGGTCTTCATACCCAAAGCCACGTAAACTCGGGATGAGCCTGGTAGCAACGTGTTGGACCCGTTCGATCTTTTGTGCTTCGCCTCGGGTAATCGGAAAGTAGGCGGGCGAACCGTACTCTAGCATTGGTCTAATGATAGAAGAGAACAAGCGAGTGGCAACCTCTTCAGACCATGTGCCGAAGCTACGTTTGAGCGCCCAAAGCATGCGCAGTCCGTTACGATATAACCTGTTCGTGTTGTCAACGGACTTCAAATCGTAGCGTGAGAGTACACCTAGGTCCTTCACGGAGGGTGTGGGATACAGCGTTTGGCCGTCAAGAGTGTAGGTTTGGCCGTTAGCACCCTTCCCCAGGCTCATAAATACGGGCTTGGCTGGGTTGACCGGGAGAAGAACTTCTGCAGACCATGTGGATAAGCGGTTGAGATCTTGCTGAAGTAGGCCACAGTCATCGGGAGCGTCGATTTCTCTCCAAATCTTCATGTCGTCCGCAAACAAGGCACACGGCGACCGGAGAAGCTGCGGTAGATCATTGATGTGGATCAGGAACAGAGTGGGCCCCAGCACAGTGCCTTGAGGCACGCCACTTGTAGAGGGGTATCAGTCAGTTAGATGGTCGTGGACCTGTACCCTCCACTTTAGTCCAACAAGAAAGTCGCTGATCTACCGGTGCAGAGAGCCACCGACGCCACACATGCTGAGTTTGTGAAGGAGAACCTCATGACTGACCTTTTTGAACGCTTTACTGAAATCGATGGATAGCACGTCGACGGATTTCCCCTTGTTTATTGCCTTCAACCACTCATGCCTCGTCACAAGCAGGGTCGTAATGCATGAGCGACCTTGCATAAAACCGTGCTGTGCGGGCGTCAGGACCTCGTTTGACTGTAGCAATTGCAGCAATCTCTTCTTCACGATTTTCTCAGCAACCTTTGCCAAAATAGCTGTCAGACAAATTGGCCTGTAATTGTCTACTTTGCTAGGGTCGCCGCCTTTCGGAATAGGCTTCACCACTGCACATTTCCAGTCAACCGGCAACGAACCTTCGGACAGCGACCTGTTGAAAAGGTCAGTCACGACAGGAGAGAGGATGGTTGAAATTGACTTGAGAACCAGTGGGTGAAGCCCATCAGGTTCGGCAGGTTTGGCGCCGTCAAGGTTGGCGAGTAGTTGAGCCACCTCTTCAACGCCGCATTGCAGACTATCGAGTTCGGTAAAAGCGGTACACGTCAAACTCGGAATAGACAACTGGTTATTCGCAAATACAGAAGCGAAGTGCGCCGCCAACGCGGACGCACGCTCAGTGCTGGAGGTTAGGGGCTGTCCATCCGTGCCATCCAGCACTGGCACATCACCTGCCGGCTTCAGGCGTCGCTTCACGTATGCAAAGATTCTCTTTGGGGCGGCCTTCGCGGCTAATACGAGCTGCACTTCAAAGTGTCGGCTTTATTATTTTTCGCACTGTTGCAGAGGTTCCGCTGACATTTATACCCTTCGTAATCATTGGCAGAGCCAGAGAGAACGAATTTGTCCCACAGTCTGCGCCGCCTCTGAGCTAGGTTTCCATACTCCTTGTCAAACCAATGGGGCTTAATCGGTCCAACCTTTCGACATTTCAATGGCACAAATTGGGAACACAGTGATGTCAATCTCTCTTTTATAAATATCCAACAATCTTCCACAGATGCAGCTAGTGACAGAGACCAATCCAGTTGGCTCGCGGCTCGAGCTAGACCATCGAAGTCCGTTTCCCAGTAGTTGGGAGCTGGTTGCAGCGTATGTGAATACGGCAAAGATAATTACATATCAGCTATCAGTACTGAGTGGTCGCTCGTAGCCAGGGGCTCCAGGATCCTAACGTCACGCACTCGTTGTTCGTAGCTCGTTAACATCAGGTCGAGACAGGACGAGGTTGAACGTGTTGATATGCGTGTTGGCTGGCATATGTGTTGCGATGCACCAGTTTCAAGTACCAAATCCACGAACTTTGCTTCAACCTCACTATGTCCAGGCATCAAATGCACATCAGGCCATCGTATTCGAGGACAGTTAAAATCGCCCATAAGCAGAAAGTGTGGACGACTCATGTGGCTTGAAGATGGGGCAGCCAATCCAAACAACGACTCAGGGGACTGCGATAAACTGCGCCCACAAGCAATTCTCCGCGCCTGAGGCGGATGGAGCACCACAGTAGCTCACACAGGCCATAGTTACTTCGGTAGGTACTCACAAGTCTCCCACGCAGGGAAGACCGGATGTAAAGTAAGACACCACCGTGGGCATTCTTTAGTTGCTCGCATCGGAAACACGAGTAACCGATGAGTTCAAATTCTTGGGTGTATAATTCGGCATGCTGCCATGTCTCTGCGAGTCCCACTACGTCTGGCCGCTCAGACGCAACGAAATAACAAAGCTCATCGCGCTTATTCATAATACTGCAAACGTTTGTGAAGGCTACTCGCAGGCCGCAGCAGGAGCCGCCGGGCGTGCTTGAAGGGTGAGCAGCCTGTTTACCCTGATTCGCGGATTGTTGGAAACCACCAGAAAATTTACGATACGAAGATTTGTTTCCCCCTCACCAGTGCGTCTTTTCAACTCAATGATGGCAGACTTGGGCCGCTCCCTGTCTACTGGGTCCAGGTCGGGACGAACATGTATCTTCAAACCTTTCAGCCTACTTAGGCGAGACATGATCAGTCTTGGACTGGCTTCGTCCACAAAAGTGATTCTCATAGGCCGATTTTGCTGATCACGTTGCTTTCCAAGACAGGTAGTCTGCCTCACTTTTACCGAGCGTCAAGGAGTCTATCAATTAAACCCTGTAAAAACTCGACATCGTGCTCTTAGCGCACTTGAGGTGATGGATCACTGGACTCCGGTGCGTGAAAGATCACGAGATTATAACGCCTCTGGTAGGACGAGGTTGGCCTTGCAGGGCGAAGTATACTACCAGCCTCAAGTGGTTTGGCTAACTGTTGACTTACAGAACGTAAACACCCAACGTTCCTTTGTAATTTCGTCCTCTGTTCTTTCCACTGGTCTTCAGCACTCAGACTTTTACCCGCTGGGACATCAGTGTCCGTTGGACACAACAAAGGTAAACAATCTAGGCCAGGTGCAACTGGGCTTCTCACAACGGTTGGACTTGGTGTCGGTGAGTTTGCACGGGTAGAGGAGGACGACTGAGCCGAAACCTGAAGGCTCTTCGCGCTAGGTCGTTGGGCCAAACACAGGGAGCTGTTCGCAACGAAACTCTGAGGCCTACACGTCGGCTTTACTCTTTCTGGCTGTATCTTACTTCGGCAATTTTCACATACAGTTGGGATGAAATCGTGTTGCATCTCGCGAAGACGATGAAAATGTTCAACTGATAATCCAACATATGAAATGTGGTATTTAACTTGGCACAAAACACACGTGAGGGCATTTGCACGGTATCCGACTAGTTTGTAGCAAGTACCACAGGATGACTGCTTCGGCATTGTGAATAATCCGAAAACAAGATGGCGGCCAATTGACGAAGAAAATGGCGATATCAAGATCGCCGAAACCAAGTGATGAAAACACAAGTATTTCTAGTCGGAAATTTCAGAATCGGAAATGCAACTGAATTTTAGCTCAATTTCCACGAAATACTTCCAATGAACGCAGAAAGTTAACACAAAGTGATCTTGTC